ACCCCAACAACCTCACGCTCAGCACCACCACCCCAACAACCTCACGCTCAGCACCACCACCCCAACAACCTCACGCTCAGCACCACCACCCCAACAACCTCACGCTCAGTACCACCACCCCCAACAACCTCACGCTCAGCACCACCACCCCAACAACCTCACGCTCAGTACCACCACAACAACCTCACGCTCAGCACCACCACAACAACGTCACGCTCAGCACCACCACCACAACAACGTCACGCTCAGCACCACCACCACAACAACGTCACGCTCAGCACCACCACCACAACAACCTCACTCTCAGCACCACCACCACAACAACCTCACGCTCAGCACCACCACCACAACAACCTCACGCTCAGCACCACCACCACAACAACCTCACGCTCAGCACCACCACCACAACAACCTCACGCTCAGCACCACCACCACAACAACCTCACGCTCAGCACCACCACCACAACAACCTCACGCTCAGCACCACCACCACAACCTCACGCTCAGCACCACCACCTCAACAACCTCACGCTCAGCACCACCACAACAACCTCACGCTCAGCACCACCACCCAACAACCTCACGCTCAGCACCACCACCACAACATCCTCACGCTCAGCACCACCACCACAACCTCACGCTCAGCACCACCACCCCAACAACCTCACGCTCAGCACCACCACAACAACCTCACGCTCAGCACCACCACCCAACAACCTCACGCTCAGCACCACTACCACCAACAACCTCACGTTCAGCACCACCACCACAACAACCTCACGCTCAGCACCACCACCCCAACAACCTCACGCTCAGCACCACCAACCCAACAACCTCACGCTCAGCACCACCACCCCAACTACCTCACGCTCAGCACCACCACCAACAACCTCGCGCTCAGCACCACCACCCCAACTACCTCACGCTCAGCACCACCACCAACAACCTCACGCTCAGCACCACCACCCCAACTACCTCACGCTCAGCACCACCACCAACAACCTCACGCTCAGCAGGTTAATGACCAAGCACCAACATCACTTCAGCCCCAATCTGCTACTGCTGACACTGTGGTCCCTCTCATCTCGTCCCAGCAGCATCCCCCCATCTCGTGTTATCAGCATCCTCCCACCTCGTCCCATCATCCCCCATCTCGGCCCATCAGCATCCCCCCATCTCGTCCCATCAGCATCCCTCCATCTCGTCCCATCAACATCCCCCATCTCGTCCCATCAGCATCCCCCCCATCTCGTCCCATCAGCATCCCCCATCTCGTCCCATCAGCATCCCCCCATTTCGTCCCATCAGCATCCCAACATCTCGTCCCATCAGCATCCCCCATCTCGTGCTATCAGCATCCCCATCTCGTCCCATCAGCATCCCCCATCTCGTGCTATCAGCATCCTCCCATCTCGTCCCATCAGCATCCCCCTATCTCGTGCTATCAGCATCCCTCATCTCGTCCCATCAGCATCCCCCCATCTCGTGATATCTGCATCCTCCCATCTCGTCCCATCAGCATCCCCCATCTCGTGCTATCAACATTCCCCCATCTCGTCCCATCAGCATCCCCCCATCTCGTCCCATCAGCATCCCCCCATCTCGTCCCATCAGCATCCCCCCATCTCGTGTTATCAGCATCCCCCATCTCGTCCCATCAGCATCCCCCATCTCGTCCCATCAGCATCCCCATCTCGTCCCATCAGCATCCCCCATCTCGTCCTATCAGCATCCCCCATCTCGTCCCATCAGAATCCCCCATCTCGTCCCATCAGCATCCCCATCTCGTCCCATCAGCATCCCCCATCTCGTCCCATCAGCATCCCCCCATCTCGTCCCATCAGCATCCTCCCATCTCGTGTTAACAGCATCCCCCCATCTCGTCCCATCAGCATCCCCTCATCTTGTCCCATCAGCATCCCCCCATCTCGTCCCATCAGCATCCCCCCATCTCGTCCCATCAGCATCCCCCATCTCGTCCCATCAGCATTCCCCATCTCGTCCCATCAGCATTCCCCATCTCGTCCCATCAGCATTCCCCATCTCGTCCCATCAGCATTCCCCATCTCGTCCCATCAGCATCCCCTCATCTCGTCCCATCAGCATCCCCCATCTCGTCCCATCAGCATCCCCCATCTCGTCCCATCAGCAAGCCTCCCTATCTCTCCACACTAACTAGTGGCTCCCATGCCCCTTGCTACCAAACAGATGTCTCCAGATAACAAACAGTGTGAGGAACTAACTTATCTTGAGGTTATCTTGAGATGATTTCGGGGCTTAGCGTCCCCGCGGCCCGGTTATCGACCAGGCCTCCTTTTTTATACACACACCCAGGAAGCAGTCCGTAGCAGCTATATATATCCCAGGTACCTATTTACTGCTAGGTAACAGGTGCATCAGGGGTGATAGAAACATTTTGCCCATTTGTCTCCGCCTCCACCGGGGATCGAACCCGTAACCTCAGGATTTCGAATCCGATGCGGTGTCCACCCAGTTGTCATGCGTCAAGCGCCAACGTCATCGTAGTGTTGACAATATCACAATTCAACGCCCGAAGATACGTCATCAACGTTGAACCAGCGTTGATAACGTTCATTCAACGTTGAACCAGCGTTGATAACGTTCATTCAACGTTGAACCAGCGTTGATAACGTTCATTCAACGTTGAACCAGCGTTGATAACGTTCATTCAACGTTGAACCAGCGTTGATAACGTTCATTCAACGTTGAACCAGCGTTGATAACGTTCATTCAACGTTGAACCAGCGTTGATAACGTTCATTCAACGTTGAACCAGCGTTGATAACGTTCATTCAACGTTGAACCAGCGTTGATAACGTTCATTCAACGTTGAACCAGCGTTGATAACGTTCATTGAACGTTGAACCAACTCCACTGGTGGATATTTTCCCCGGTGGGTTCATGATCCAGCTGTGTGTACACTATATATTTCTTATATCACATCTCCCACAGTTAAATGTCTTTATATCAGGTTTGTCTTAGTGCTTAGGCTGCGGCCGTTCGTATCCATGTGGAGTGTCCAGGCTGCAAGTCGGTTTGTTACTTTTTCTAAGTAAGAAAACAAGAAAATTAAACGAGAAGAGGATAAAGAGGAACGTAATTATTTACTCTTCAATTGAACACTTGAATTAGGAGTCGCCATCGAGGCTAGCGGTCGGGTTGGGCCGTTCATCACCTTAAATCTCAACATTATGTTAACACAGCAGCGTTTCTGTACGTTCTTAAAACGTTCTAAATGCTCTTAGAACGGTCTAAGCATTATACAGCTTTCGAAGCGTTATACAGCGTTCTAAGCGTTATGCAACTTTCTAAGCGTTATACAGCTTTCTAAACGTTATACAGCTTTCTAAGCGTTATGCAACTTTCTAAGCGTTATACAGCTTTCTAAACTCTAAGCATTATACAGCTTTCGAAGCGTTATACAGCGTTCTAAGCGTTATGCAACTTTCTAAGCGTTATACAGCTTTCTAAACGTTATACAGCTTTCTAAGCGTTATACAGCTTTCTAAACTCTAAACGTTATACAGCTTTCTAAGCGTTATACAGCTTTCTAAGCGTTATACAGCTTTCTAAGCGTTATACAGCTTTCTAAGCGTTATACAGCTTTCTAAGCGTTATACAGCTTTCTAAGCGTTATACAGCTTTCTAAGCGTTATACAGCTTTCTAAGCGTTATACAGCTTTCTAAGCGTTATACAGCTTTCTAAGCGTTATACAGCTTTCTAAACGTTATACAGCGTTCTACACGTTATAAACTTACAACGATATAAACGTTCAATGTCACAGTGAATGTTGTGTATTATATATTAACGTTCCAAACGTTTCTACCTCATAAACGATGAATCAATGTATGAATCTCGCCGTCGAAATCTTCGTCAGTGGGAAAAAATATCAAAGAATGGCGTTGGTTTGACGCCATTCTTCAGCGTTGAATCACCATTGATGATGTTGAGTATGTTGAATTGGCGGTGTCCTCGGATGTTGGGTCCTCTACGACCTTAGTCGCCACGCTGAAACGATCTCAAGGCAGATATCAGTGGGCACGATATCCAAGACCTCAAGGCAGACACCACTGGGGGACGATATCAAGGACCTCAAGGCAGACTCCACTGGGCACGATATCCAAGACCTCAAGGCAGACACCACTGGGGGACGATATCAAGGACCTCAAGGCAGACTCCACTGGGCACGATATCCAAGACCTCAAGGCAGACACCACTTGGCACGATATCCAAGACCTCAAGGCAGACACCACTGGGGGACGATATCAAAGACCTCAAGGTAGACACCACTGGGGGACGATATCAAGGACCTCAAGGCAGACTCCACTGGGCACGATATCCAAGACCTCAAGGCAGACACCACTTGGCACGATATCCAAGACCTCAAGGCAGACACCACTGGGGGACGATATCAAAGACCTCAAGGCAGACACCACTGGGGGACGATATCAAAGACCTCAAGGCAGACACCACTGGGGGACGATATCAAAGACCTCAGGGCAAACACCACTGGGCACGATATCCAAGACCTCAAGGCCGACACCACTGGGGGACGATATCAAGGACCTCAAGGCAGACTCCACTGGGCACGATATCCAAGACCTCAAGGTAGACAACACTGGGGGACGATATCAAAGACCTCAAGGCAGACACCACTGGGCACGATATCCAAGACCTCAAGGTAGACAACACTGGGGGACGATATCAAAGACCTCAAGGCAGACACCACTTGGCGCGATATCCAAGACCTCAAGGCAGACACCACTGGGGGACGATATCAAGGACCTCAAGGCAGACACCACTGGGCGCGATATCCAAGACCTCAAGGCAGACACCACTGGGGAACGATATCCAAGACCTTAAGGCAGACACCACTGGGGGACGATATCAAAGACCTCAAGGCAGACACCACTGGGGGACGATATCAAAGACCTCAAGGCAGACTCCACTGGGCACGATATCCAATACCTCAAGGCAGACACCACTGGGCACGATATCCAAGACCTCAAGGCAGACACCACTGGGCACGATATCCAAGACCTTAAGGCAGACACCACTGGGGGACGATATCAAAGACCTCAAGGCAGACTCCACTCGGCACGATATCCAAGATCTCAAGGCAGACACCACTGGACACGATATCCTAGACCTCAAGGCAGACACCAGTGGGCATGATATCCAAGACCTCAAGGCAGACAACACTGGGCACGATATCCAAGACCTTGAGGCAGACACCACTGGGCGCGATATCCAAGACCTCAAGGCAGACACCACTGGGCACGATATCCAAGACCTCAAGACAGACACCAGTGGGCATGATATCCAAGACCTCAAGGCAGACAACACTGGGCACGATATCCAAGACCTTAAGGCAGACACCACTGGGTGCGATATCCTAGGCCAGGGGTCTCCAAACTATGGCCCGCGGGCCACATCCGGCCCGCCACATAATTTCATCCGGCTCTCCAAACAAATCCCTGTGTGGTGGCTTTGAAAAAATAATTATCGTACGAATGGCATCACAGAATTATTCAAAGCTGGAGCTGCTGACTGGTGGCGCTCAACCCGAGTCAGTTTTCCTCTCTCTCGATAGTGTGACGCACAGATACTAATACTGGTAGGTATGTGTTGTGCATTACAACCAATCAGTTGTGTATAACTGTATATTGTGGGGATGGAGGGCGAGTGGGGCTTCGCTGCTTCCGTTTCAGGGAGCTTTTCCTTTTTCTTTTTCCAAAATGAAGTATGTGAAATCTAACTATCGAGCAAATTTGTCTGATGATCACTTGAAATCAATTCTTACAATTGGCTCATCTAATCTGGAACCTGATTTTAATGAAATTTTGAAGTCAAAACGACAGTATCATTCGTCACACTAATTTGGTTGCATAAAACTAAAGGCAGGAATCTATTTAGTTTACCCTGATTTTTTTCCATAAAGATATGTTTTAATTTTTCCAAGTTTATACTTTAATATTTGAGGAAATTAAATTACTGGCACTGATTTGTTTTTTGTTTTTTTTTTGTTTTTTATTCCTCCGGCCCGCATAAATATGGTAAATACATAATGTGGCCCTTACATTGACAAGTTTGGAGACCCCTGGTCTAGACCTCAAGGTAGACACCAGTGGGCACGATATCCTAGACCTCAAGGTAGACACCAGTGGGCACGATATCCTAGACCTCAAGGTAGACACCAGTGGGCACGATATCCAAGACCTCAAGGTAGACACCAGTGGGCACGATATCCAAGACCTCAAGGTAGACACCAGTGGGCACGATATCCTAGACCTCAAGGTAGACACCAGTGGGCACGATATCCAAGACCTCAAGGTAGACACCAGTGGGCGCGATATCCTAGACCTCAAGGCAGACACCAGTGGGCGCGATATCCTAGACCTCAAGGCAGACACCAGTGGGCACGATATCCAAGACCTCAAGGCAGACACCAGTGGGCGCGATATCCTAGACCTCAAGGCAGACACCAGTGGGCGCGATATCCTAGACCTCAAGGTAGACACCAGTGGGCACGATATCCTAGACCTCAAGGTAGACACCAGTGGGCGCGATATCCTAGACCTCAAGGCAGACACCAGTGGGCGCGATATCCTAGACCTCAAGGCAGACACCAGTGGGCGCGATATCCTAGACCTCAAGGTAGACACCAGTGGGCACGATATCCTAGACCTCAAGGTAGACACCAGTGGGCGCGATATCCTAGACCTCAAGGCAGACACCAGTGGGCGCGATATCCTAGACCTCAAGGCAGACACCACTGGGCACGATATTGAAGACCTCAAGGCAGACACCACTGGACACGATATCCAAGACCTCAAGGCAGACACCAGTGGGCACGATATCCAAGACCTTAAGGCAGACACCAGTGGGCACGATATCCAAGACCTCAAGGCAGACAACACTGGGCACGATATCCAAGACCTCAAGGCCGACACCACTGGGCACGATATCCAAGACCTCAAGGCAGACACCACTGGGCGCGATGTCCAAGACTTTAAGGCAGACACCACTGGGCGCGATATCCAAGACCTCAAGGCAGACAACACTGGGCACGATATCCAAGACCTTAAGGCAGACACTACTGGGCGCGATATCCTAGACCTTAAGGCAGACACCAGTGAGCACGATATCCAAGACCTAGAGACAGACACCAGTGGGCATGATATCCAAGACCTCAAGACAGACACCAGTGGGCATGATATCAAAGACCTCAAGACAGACACCACTGGGCACGATATCCAAGACCTCAAGGGAGGCACCACTGGGCACGATATCCAAGACCTTAAGGCAGACACCACTGGGCGCGATATCCAAGACCTCAAGACAGACACCAGTGGGCATGATATCAAAGACCTCAAGACAGACACCACTGGGCACGATATCCAAGACCTCAAGGCAGACAACACTGGGCACGATATCCAAGACCTTAAGGCAGACACCACTGGGCACGATATCCAAGACCTTAAGGCAGACACCACTGGGCACGATATCCAAGACCTCAAGGCAGACAACACTGGGCACGATATCCAAGACCTCAAGGCAGACACCACTGGGCACGATATCCAAGACCTCAAGGCAGACAACAGTGGGCACGATATCCAAGACCTCAAGGCAGACAACACTGGGCACGATATTCAAGACCTCAAGGCAGACACCAGTGTGCGCGATATCCAAGACCTCAAGGCAGACAACACTGGGCACGATATCCAAGACCTCAAGGCAGACAACACTGGGCACGATATTCAAGACCTCAAGGCAGACACCAGTGTGCGCGATATCCAAGACCTCAAGGCAGACAACACTGGGCACGATATCCAAGACCTCAAGGCAGACAACACTGGGCGCGATATCCAAGAAAAACGCCAGTTCATCTACGAATCAACGTCATGAACGTTGACTCAACGTTATTTTTAACGTTGATAACATTCATTCCAAACCTCGCCCCCGCCAGCCTCGGGTGTTGCCGGCACCGGACTCTCGACTCCCGCTCAGGACAAGTCCAGGTCAAGAAGGACTCCACGGACAGTTGTGTCCACGTCATCAATACTCGTGTAAACAACTCAATCATTCAATCACGCATAACATAACCAAACTCTAACCTTAACAAACCTAACCAAAATGAAATATATATATATATATATATATATATATATATATATATATATATATATATATATATATATATATTTTGGTAGCAGTCTTTCCTGTAGACATATATTATTAAATATGACCGAAAAAGTAAGATTAATAATTATAACACGAATTTTCTCTATCTTTCTTACGTTTCTTTTCACTGTTGATGGTAATTCAAAGATCAATTCTCCAAAATTCATTTTTATTTCTAGTCTGACGCGACACTTGAGTGCGTTTCGTAAAACTTATTACATTTTCAAAGACTTTAGTTTACACACACAACTGAAACTGAATAGAGCTTGCACATCTTCGAGTTTATATCTACATTTGGGTGAGGTGGATGAGGTGAAAACAAACTTTCAACAATGGGTCTTGAATGGGTATTAAATTCAAACACAAGACAGAACACGAAACAATGGGTCTTGAATGGGTATTAAATTCAAACACAAGACAGAACACGAAACAATGGGTATTGAATGGGTATTAAATTCAAACACAAGACAGAACACGAAACAATGGGTATTGAATGGAAGTAATTGTAGAAAGCCTATTAGTCCATATTTATTGATGCTGCTATATTGGAGCGGAGTCTTGAAGTGGGTAGAATATAGTTGTGCATTAATTGGCTGTTGATTGCTGGTGTTGACTTCTTGATGTGTAGTGCCTCAGAAACGTCGAGCCGCCTGCTATCGCTGTATCTATCGATGATTTCTGTGTTGTTTGCTAAGATTTCTCTGGCGATGGTTTGGTTGTGGGAAGAGATTATATGTTTCCTTAATGGAGCCCTGTTGCTTATGCATCGTTAAAAGCCTGGAAAGAGATGTTGTTGTCTTGCCTATATACTGAGTTTTTTGAGGCTTACAATCCCCAAGAGGGCATTTGAAGGCATAGACGACGTTGGTCTCTTTTAAAGCGTTCTGCTTTGTGTCTGGAGAGTTTCTCTTGAGTAGGCTGGCCGTTTTTCTGGTTTTATAGTAAATCGTCAGTTGTATCCTCTGATTTTTGTCTGTAGGGATAACGTTTCTATTAACAATATCTTTCAGGACCCTTTCCTCCGTTTTATGAGCTGTGGAAAAGAAGTTCCTGTAAAATAGTCTAATAGGGGGTATAGGTGTTGTGTAAGTTGTCTCTTCAGAGGTTGCATAGCGTTTTCCTTCATAAGAAGGAAAGTGAAACGCCATGCAACCTCTGAAGAGACAACTAACACAACACCTATACCCCCTATTAGACTATTTTACAGGAACTTCTTTTCCACAGCTCATAAAACGGAGGAAAGGGTCCTGAAAGATATTGTCAGTAGAAACGTTATCCCTACAGACAAAAATCAGAAGATACAACTACTATAAAACCAAAAAAACGGCCAGCCTACTTATGAGAAACTCTCCAGACACAAAGCAGAACGCTTTAAAAGAGACCAACGTCGTCTATGCTTTCAAATGCCCTCTTGGGGATTGTAAGCCTCAAAAAACTCAGTATATAGGCAAGACAACAACATCTCTTTCCAGGCGTTTAACGATGCATAAGCAACAGGGCTTCATTAAGGAACATATAGCCTCTTCCCACAACCAAACCATCACCAGAGAAATCTTAGCAAACAACACAGAAATCATCGATAGATACAGCGATAGCAGGCGGCTCGACGTTTCTGAGGCACTACACATCAAGAAGTCAACACCAGCAATCAACAGCCAATTAATGCACAACTATATTCTACCCACTTCAAGACTCCGCTCCAATATAGCAGCATCAATAAATATGGACCAATAGGCTTTCTACAATTACTTCCATTCAATACCCACTGTTTCGTGTTCTGTCTTGTGATAAAAGTTTATTTTCACCTCATCCAAAACTATTGTAACATGTCACTTCACCGAAATGTAGGTATAAAAACTCGAAAGATGTTTAAGCTCTATTCAGTTAAAGTTGTGTGTGTTTGTGTAAACTAAAGTCTTTGAAAATGTAATAAGTTTTACGAAACGCGCTCAAGTGTCGCGTCAGACTAGAAATATAAATGAATTTTGGAGAATTGATCTTTGAATTACCATCAACAGTGAAAAGAAACATAAGAAAGATCGAGAAAATTCGTGTTAGAATTATTAATCTTACTTTTTCGGTCATATTTAATAATATATGTCTACAGGAAAGACTGCTACCAAAATATACTATATATATATATATATATATATATATATATATATATATATATATATATATATATATATATATATATATATATATACAATCTATACTTGTATATATATACTTGTATATATATATATATATACTTGTATATATAGCCTATACTTGTATATATATATATATATATACAAGTATAGGCTTATAAGCTGGACACGAGTTCTCTCACATTGACAGTGGCTTGACGAAATTGCAGACTGACCCCTCACTCATCTGGTGCCTTCGGGAGGTAGAGATGTTTGAGATATATATATCTCGAACTATCTACTTCTTTTGTAAGGTCTGATGGCGTAGTGGGTTAAAGCATACTAGTTATGCCAGCTACTGGAAGGTAGTTGTGCTTTCTGGGTTCGAGTCCCACTGGTGGGTGTTGTCCAAAGATTGTTTATCTTCACTTGTGGTTTATGCAAGTATAGGCTTATAAGCTGGACACGAGTTCTCTCACATTGACAGTGGCTTGACGAAAATTGCAGACTGACCCCTCACTCATCTGGTGCCTTCGGGAGGTAGAGATGTTTGAGATATATATATCTCGAACTATCTACTTCTTTTGTAAGGTCTGATGGCGTAGTGGGTTAAAGCATACTAGTTATGCCAGCTACTGGAAGGTAGTTGTGCTTTCTGGGTTCGAGTCCCACTGGTGGGTGTTGTCCAAAGATTGTTTATCTTCACTTGTGGTTTATGCAAGTATAGGCATATATATATATATATATATATGTCGTACCTAGTAGCCAGAACGCACTTCTCAGCCTACTATGCAAGGCCCGATTTGCCTAATAAGCCAAGTTTTCATGAATTATTTATTTTTCGACTACCTAACCTACCTAACCTAACCTAACCTAACTTTTTCGGCTACCTAACCTAACCTAACCTATAAAGATAGGTAGGGTTGGTTAGGTTCGGTCATATATCTACGTTAATTTTAACTCCAATACAAAAAAAATTACCTCATACATAATGACATGGGTAGCTTTATCATTTCATAAGAAAAAAAAATAGAGAAAATATATCAATTCAGGAAAACTTGGCTTATTAGGCAAATCGGGCCTTGCATAGTAGGCTGAAAAGTGCGTTCTGGCTACTAGGTACGACATATGTCTATATATATATATATATATATATATATATATATATATATATATATATATATATATATATATATATATATATATATATATATATATATATATATATATATATATATATATGATATCAGATGTGAAGGAGGTGATTGACGTCACTGTGACGTCACGGCTTGCTTCCAGGAACACCCCCCCCCCACCAATTCCGATGTTGATTCCAATGTTCATTTAACATTAGTGCCACCCACTTACCACCGATGGTCACATAAGCGCCGCATAGTTAGCAGGTAACGAAGCTATATTCGTCAGTAATGTTGCGAACACCGTTAGTGAATCCAGGCGCCATCACGCTAATTGGAAGGTGGTACGTAGGTGACCTCTCATAACGCAATGTTTACATTCTGTTCCCACCGTCGCGGACGCATAGTTGTGTCCCACTATGTCTGCTTCCGTCCACACGAACGCCAGCGACTTTAATGTTTCCCGCCATTACAGTTTCCGTCAACACGAACGCGACAGCGTGTGTTTCCCGCCATTACAGTTTCCGTCAACACGAACGCGGCAGCGTGTGTTTCCCGCCATTACAGTTTCCGTCAACACGAACGCGACAGCGTGTGTTTCCCGCCATTACAGTTTCCGTCAACACGAACGCGACAGCGTGTGTTTCCCGCCATTACAGTTTCCGTCAACACGAACGCGACAGCGTGTGTTTCCCGCCATTTCTGTTTTCATTTTTCCCGTTATGTGCTTTTATTGAATAAACGTGTCACGTCGAGGCAGCTGGAACCGTGACAGGAATTTCAGGGATGGTTCCATACGGTTGGAACCGCATGTGGTAGGTAGTCCCACAGTGTTGGAACCACCCGTGGGAAGTGATGTTGTCCCATTATGTGGTTCGACCCATTACGTGGTGTCGTCCTAGTTGTGCATGCGGGGGTTGAGCTCTGGCTCTCTTGGCCCGCCTCTCTGTTTCTCTCTCACACACACACACACACACACACACACACACACACACACACACACACACACACACACACTAATTTAAGTAGTTTCAAAGCGTTATATGACACAGAGTGCTGGGAAGACGGGACACCACGAGCGTAGCTCTCATCCTGTAACTACACTTTGGTAATTACACACACACACACACACACGCACACACACACACACACACACACACACACAGTTCCCGTTATCGCGAAAGAGGAACTGCTAGCAAGGAAGTGTTGTCTAAAAGGTGTAGAGAAGTTCAAGAAAATATTCCTGCAGAGGGATATGACAAGGGAAGAGAGAATACGGACAGCAGACGCGAGGAAGGAGCGCAGGGAGAGAGAAGGAAATCAGAGTACCACAACCCAGAACCCTACAATCCCAGAGGGAAGTGGAGAACCCTCCTCAAACAGTGCAACAGCCACAGGGATTGGGGCACCACCCCCAAATTCTACCCAACAGACACCCAACCTGCCCCATCCCCTGTCA